ATGCCAAAAGCACAATAATTTCCCCATCTTAAAAACAACTACAATCAAGATAAAGAGGCAGAAACACAATTAATCAAGAGTGCATTCCCTTTGCCCCCTGTTAAGTCTAGTTTTGAAAAGTCAATATGCAGAGTTTTTTAGTTCAACCATGCAAGTGGGTAAAAGTGGGTTGGGCTTCATTTGGTTCGATTTTTTTTTCGATTTTCGATTTTTTGAACCCACCCATACAAGTGGGTTGAAATTTCGAATGGTGGTGCTATCGCATAGTCTTTTCACATGTAATAAGTTTGTTAACTGTACCTATGTTTGCTCATGCAAACTTTCGTAACACATGTGTAGACAATATTGATGCGAAATATATAAGCACACAAATTTAACCCTCTTTTTGACAATTGTAGTATAGATGTAAGTAGGGATCGTTCTAAACCGGGGATTAGGAGGGATTGCTAAATCACTTGAAAACTAATTTAAAAACATAAAAACAAAGTTAAAAATGTAAACAAAAGATTTTAAAACAAGAAAGTAAAAGGGGGATTTGAGTTTGGTGAAGTTGAAAGTAAAAACGAATAAACTAAAAACTTAAATAGATTTTAAACAAATTTGGGTTGAATGGATAATGGAAGGCTAGCTAAGGGGTTCTTCTCCACACATGTCTTGCTTGCATACAAAATGATTTCCAATTGCATTTCAATAACTTATTAATTCTCAACGCCCCAAATTAACCATGAATTGCACTAATTAACCCTCAGTTTTTCCACAAGTTATTGGGTTGGATGATTGCATACGACAACCCAAAACATTCCCTACAAGTTCCTACTACATGAATTGCATAATAGAGATACAAGCAAGAATCATTAAGTTCTATGAAAAACATAAGCATTGACGAGGCACTCGTTACTATGATTTGCATGAAACTTATGCCAAGGATTTACTTAACACAATCGTGACTAGCGACTTTTACTACTCATGAATATAAGTTCATAACGATTAGGTGAAATTCCCTTATACTCTAGCATCATATTTATGCATGCAAACTAAGTATGCATCCCTAATCAACATACATAAACATGTTATCAATCAAATAGATAAGTAAATCGAATTCATAACTTATGAAACGCAATTAAAAGTAATCAAATCATATTGCAAGCATTAACATGGTTTCGAATCCCCCCTAGCCAAGGGGGGTTTAGTTCCTCATTATTACAAAACAAAGATAAACAAATTTAAACATTGAAAAACAAAGGAAAGAAAGCACCTAAACGTTCCAACGATCCATGTTGGATAGCAAGTGCGTCTAAGGACTTTTCTCCTTCTCTTTGCCGCAACAACAAGGTTGGAATGATGTTGAAGGGTTGGTTATTTGGAGGAATGGATGGGAAGGGGTTTAGATATGTAGGAGAGGCAAGGAAAGGCTTGGAGAATGGTTAATTTGTGGATGATTTGAATGAGGTTGATGCCATGGTATTTATAGGAAGAGGATGGACTTGTTTAACACAAAATGTTGGTGGAATTGAGTAGGTGAGCATGGCAAAGAGTGGGAATTGTTGGTGGGTTAGGTATTGAGTCATCCACTCACATGTCATGGTTAGCTAAGCATTGCATCATCCACTCACATGTCATGGTTAGCTAAGCATTGCATCATCCACTCACATGTCATGGTGAGCTAAGCATTGCATCATCCACTCACATGTCATGGTGAGTTAAGCATTGCATCATTACTCAAATTTCTGGTGGAGGTGGAAGTAAAAGCCACGGCATTGATGTGTTTTGAGTGAAGTTTTGGCCAATCCTTCTAGAAATTTATCCCTTCTTGCAACTTGTATTTGTTTCACCAAATTTTTAGCATGTTCTTAGCCTCTTTTGTCTTCAAATTCGTCCATCCATCTTGCTCATATCATATGTAATCCATTCCAAGCTCAAAACTGCTCCAAAATGCACCAAAATGCACTTTTCTTGCTACCTTAGCCCTTTGGACCTACAAACACACGAAAATGGCTTAAAGTACTAAAATAACTAAGAACTAATAACGTAAATGCAAGAAAAACTAGTTAACTAAGTCGCATAAATATGCGTCTATCAAATATCAGCCATTTACCTGTGTATGCTCATGCAAACTTTCATAACACATTTGCGGACAATATCAGCCATTAGAAATAGATCTTGCAGCCATATAAATTTGAACTTTTTCCATTTATTTTCCACGCGCAGCAAAATGTCTATCCTTTGCCCCTTTCTCATGTTCCTTCGTATTCTTTCTTTGGTAAAACTGATAAATGTTACCGACAATCTATGACACAGTATATTTGGATGGAGGATTTTCAAGCCATGACTGAAAACCAAATTCTAAAAAGAGAATACCACAAAATGAGAAATTCTTCAATAGTACGCAGTCATGAATGATAAGAAATGAATGGACAAGATTGAAAATAGACTATTCAATACTTGTGGAAATCTTTGTACAATAAAATAACCAATAGTTCTCCTTCTCTAATGCGTTTTTCATTTCATCTCAAACACGTTACAAACAAAGGTGGACCTACAAGTAACTATCAAAGGCAATTCAACAGGTGACCAAAACGTAGCCACATCTTTAATTTTACAAGAATTAAAGTTTCCTATTGACTTCATGACTTAGTAATTTAAAGTCTTGGTCCTTGGAAATTATTAGTTCATAAAATACAATATTTGTTGACTTGTAGTGCATGCATAAAGTTGGATAAAATCTATATGGTCTTTTAATCAATCAGCTGTAGCAGATAAATAGACAGTTCATAATACCTAATCTCAGTTTACTACCCTCAAGTTTCTTGGTTTTCAACATTTGGTACATCAAATTTTTTTTATCCCAGAATGGTACATGAAGTCATAATTCAGGGACACTTTCATACATCTGTTAAGTTTAATGTTAAATCAGCCGTTGACTAGTGATGTGGCGCCTACATGGACAATGATTGGGCGCCATATATCAATATAGCCAATCAAATGTGGCAAATAAATAGACAGTTCATAATGCTTTTTACTCATTTGTTTTCATATAGTTGAATGACTGAATGATTTCATATGTTATTAATTTTGTAAGATATGATCTTTACAAAGTATCTGAATAGTTTCGATCATTAATACGAAATTTCGTGAATTAAAAACTAAATATCATGAGGAAGAACTCCCTCATCTATTGAGTCATGAACAAAGTTAATTCATAATATTAAATATTCACTTACAAGTGAAAATGAAATACCACTAGACTTTTAAAAGCTACAATCTGAAGGCCACTGCTCTATTCTTTCTTTTGGTTAAAATCGATAAATGTAACTGACAAACTATGACACGGTATATTTGGGTGGGGGATTTTCAAGCCATGGGACTAAAAACCAAATTATAAAAAAGAGAATACCACAAAATGGAAAATTCTTCAATAGTACGTGGTAGGGTGGACATGGGTTGGTTTGGGTTAGTTTTGGGCCAAAACTGAAACCAAACCGACCTAGTCAGTTGGGCCAAATTGCAAATCGAAACTGACCAAGCTAGGTATAAAACTGAATATAAAGTCGGTTAACCGACAGTGGCAGGTTGGTTTGGGTCAGTTTTCGGTTTGTGTGAAGACGAAAATACATAACAAATTCATTTCCCAAAAGCTATAGAATGTAGCACCAATATGAGTGATTGCTCAAAGGAAAACACAACCATAGAAAAACTACTACCTTCTCCAAATGTGACCCTGTTTTCCTTTCATAATTTCATTCCTCTCTGTTTTTAGGCACATAAAGGTTGCCTTTTCTTTTTGCTATTTGCTTTTTGAATGAAAGGAAAGGGGACTTTTAAACTAATTATGTTTATTATTCATGTGGTGTATCCACGGTAACTCGTAAATAACTAATTATTTATATTACTACACGTATTAATTATGGTTAAAAAAATAAAAATAAGTATACGAGGGTCGGTTCGGTTAACCACATCCGAAGAATTTTGAAATTGCTTGCCAAACGATTAAGATCGGTGCGATTCGGTTTAACCACCGAAAATTAAAACAAAAAACCAAAACCAAACCAACCCTTGGTGTGGTTCGGACGGTTCAGTCATTTTTATTTTTTTTATTTAATGCTCAGCCCTAGTACGTAGTAAAGGCTCTAGGGAAAGTCGGAATAAGAGAGCACTCATCTTGGGGTGGGGTTACTACTTAGATGCTTTCAACATCAAGGTTCTAAAAGACGTTAGGCACTAGTCGGGCGGTGAGCTGGGACCTAGCGCCTAGGCGGTTTAGGCGGGAATTAGGTGAGCGCCTAGACGAGCTAGGCAGATTTAAGTAAATTATTATATCTCATATAAATAGTGTCTATTTTTACTTAGAAAAAAACCTAGACTAGTATTGGATGACATTACATTTATATATATATATATATATATTTCTTTGTTTTTATTAAAGTTACTATAAAACATATGAATACTTACGTTCTTATACTTTGAAATTTTCAAATATTAAAACCTTAATGTAGGTCCACTAAGTCTAATAAAAAACTAGAAATGAAAAAAGCCATTAACTTTCTTTGTTATATTGTTGTTTTGGACATTTTGGTTGGGTCAAGAAGGCCATTAAATTTTAAGGTCCATTTAGCTTTGGAAAACAGAAAGTTGCGGATCTACTTAAATAGGCTTATAGCATTTTTTTGGTTGGGTTAAGAAGGCCATTAAATTTTTAAAGTTCATTTAGCTTTGGAAAACGAAAAGTTGTGGATAAACTTAAATAGGCTATAGCAAACGATGACTATAGTACATGTATTTAAACTATTCATCGTCTTCATCTTCTCACCCACTGCTCTTGCTAATGCATCTTCTTATCGTGGCCACCAATTCACGCTTTTCGTTCTGGATGCAATTTTTTTCAGATAACAGATAGCCCATGAGATCTTCTAGCCACCTAGGGCGATTATACTGTTTATTATTTTGATTAATGTGACTTGTAATGCCTTCATTATGCTCATTGCATACTCACATGAAAAAAAATATACTTCATAATGTCAACATTGATTAAGAAACTGCTATTTGCAGGTCATTCATTCAGCCCGAGCAAATGCAACTCATAATCATGGGTTAGACCCAGACCGTCTCCTTGTTGGTAAATACTGCAAACAAAGTTTAGTTTTTGTTATCTTTCTTTTTTGTTTTTCAGTTTTTAACCTTCTTTGTTCTGCATTTTCTCCTTATTTGTAGCCGAGGCTTTTGTTGGAAAGGGATTCTTCAAAAAGAGACTGTCCTACCATGCCAAAGGCAAATGTGGAGTGAAAGTGAGACCAGAATGCCGCCTTACGGTCGTAGTGAGGGAGATTACCCCTGACGAGGAGGCAGAGATAGCCAAACTGAAGGTTAAGAATTTCATTAAGATGACTAAGCGCGAAAGAAAGCTTGTTCCTCACCAACTTATTGAGACAACTCCAATTTGGGGCCGCAAAGGCAGAAGTCGTGATAGTGAACGAAATGGTGAGGCTTCATGAGCAAAGGTTCCTTCCCTTGCTTTCACATTCTAAAAGAACGTTTTGAGACTCCTCGCCCTGTCCTTGCATTTGGATCAAATTGTCGTGTTGAATTGTGAAAGACGGAGTGCCACAGTAGGAGCAAACATTGTTTCGTTTCTGGTAGCGGCTGCTCGCAGTTATAAATTTTTTCGCCATTATAGATTTTAAACGCTTAATATGTCGAATATCATTGCAGTCATTTCTTAGTCGGCTTTTGTTGAGAATAAAAGTTTGAAGTTTAGAAGGAAATGCAGGATTCTCGTCTTACAGTGCTTTTTTATTTTGTTTTCCTCGTAGTAACGCTTGTATTTATTCACATTGATACCACACACGGTAAGCATATCGAAATACTCCAATGTGGAACGGCAAATCCTGGAGGATTTTAGCGTGCACACGAAAATATATCGTTTTAGATGCTGCTTACCAGTTGGCTAATTACATTCTATCAAACTAATCCGTACCTGTAAGCTGCCGGCTTATCGATGAAGAATTCTTCCCTGCTCTTCCCGGAGGGGAACAATTTCTCCCCTCGACCATCTTCATGAAAGAAGCTGCACAGCGGTTGCTTGTTTAATAAAACCCGACAGTAGAATTAAACTGTGGTCCAAGCTAGGCGCTCGACGGACGAAAACTGAGTCAAACACCATGCAATGCTCTGCAGATCCAAACCCAAAACTACAGAACTGGGTTCAGAAACATAGAACCTCCCTACAAGAAGACTCATTCACTTGTGAGAGTTTTGTTATCGACAAACCTTAGACATGGTTATGGAGAGTGTCACTCTCGACATAGCAGCTGAGCTACCAACAAATCTGGCTAACTGATCTAACCATTCCACATGACCAGCCCTATCTCTTATTTTGCTGCATAAATTCGGGGACTGACCCGTTACTGCAATCTTGATGAAGAAATCGAATAAAAGAAAAGTTCACAGGTATTAAGTATAAAACCAAAGCAACCAAGATCAAACAATCAGAGTAAGTCGAAACGTGCACAATCACAAGATAAAACTGCAATGCCATTAATTAGTGATAGCACTGGTTCACGATATAGAACAAGGATCCGCGCCAAATTTTCAAACTGAGAAAACCACACACTAAAAACCTGTGTCAGGAAGTCACAGGGGACATAGATTGCCTATGTATGAGTAACTTGGTAAAATATTACTTTGGCAAATCAATACTTCTGTATCTAAAAATCTCCACACCCAAGTAGTCAAGAGGACCATGAACAGCGACATGCGGCTTTGCAACTTTCACAGAGACAGCAGATATCTGGGGATAATTTTTCAGAGTGGTAGATGCAATTTGTTGAGCCACAGACTCCAGAAGATTATGAGGAGGCCCTTCTACAACTTCCTTTACGATGCTGAGGTGTATAATTTCAATAAATCACAAGTGATGGTATTAGTTTGACAAAATCTTTAGATATAAGACGATAATCATGTAGTTTAAATTTTTTTTTTCTTTTGTGCACGCAAATGCCTAGCTTTTGAGTCTCCATTTTTTAATTATCTTTCAATCATTATTAGTAATTATATCGCACTCATACGACAAAAGAAACAGAACAAAAAACAGACAGATCTCAGGGAAGACTGATATTGAAGATTAACTTTTCAAGGCCATTGCAAACTGAAGTGAACATTTGACTGGTAATCTGCACATGCTAGAATTGCAGCACTTAACTAGGACGTTATATGTCAGTATTCGAGGTAATGCAAAATGAAAAGGTCGTATTATGTTATTACTAACCGATAGATTTCGGTGTAACTAACTGTATCTGACAAGTGATCAGATTTACCAGCCTCCCGGAGATCCATCCAAGCATCAACGTCTATCACAAACTTCTGACCCAACTTCCTTTCCTCAGGCTTCACCCCATGGAAACCATGGAACTTCAAACCCCTCAATATGAGCTTATCTCCCCCTCTTACTGCAGCATCTTCCTGTATTGTTCCTAATGAAAATCAACCATAATTAGCCATTAACGGCTGCCCAATAACACCAACCAATAAAGGAAAGTCGCACAAAAAACGTTAATGTTCACAGTTCACCTGGAACATACAAAAGGCCTAATAAAATTATTACTGAAAAGATAACAAGAATCTATACAAATTGACTGTCGTTATTTCATTGTTATTATTCGAACAGTATGCTAATTAATCTAATCTATACTACGGGGAATGGATTCGAACTTGGGTGCAGAGGGGGATGCAAATTGACTGTCATTAGGAAAAACGACAACTTTCCTTGTACACTATCCCTCAACTCCTAATATAAGTTTCTATGCTAGTTAGAAGAAACTTTTCGTGTTCATTTACACTTTATGACGACCTCGATTGTCTAGGATTGAATTGGATTGGATAACCAAGTAGCTTGAATGAATGTTGAACAAAGAAATGTATGCCAACTTTGAAAATTTTGTACGAGTTGAATATCGAAGATGATATTAGTCATGAAGGGAACTTATCCTTTTAATCCCTACAATAGTAGGACGCGGAGGGATAAGTTACCTTCATGACTAGTTCATCTTCCACCTTTCATCCTGTGCAAAATTTGGAAGCGGCCATCCAATTCTTCATTCAACATACAAACAATCTAGTGAGTTATCCAATCCAATCTAATCCTCGGCACCAAACGAGGGCTATGCATTGGTGATGGGGTTGAGGTATCCAAAAACTCCTATGGCCAACCAAGAAACATCTTTTGTTTTTTTTTTTTTTTTTTTTTTTTTTTTTTTTTGTAAATCCAGGAGGAACCCAGTAATGCTAACATGCTCATAACCACAAATGTTCAAGAACCCATTACCCATATCTCAAAGTTTAGACCTTTTTCCATATCAAAATTACCACAAAAAAAAAAAAAAAAAAAAAAAAAGATTTTATTCAACTTTTTCAGAGAAGTAAGAAAAAGTAAGCAGAGTAGAGAGAGAGAGAGAGAGAAGATGAGTTTACCAGAAGTGGGCGCAGCCATTAAAGCTCTGTATTCGGCAGCTTTTGCTGAATGTTTCTTCAAGGGTGGTGCGTTGCGGGAGAATCTGCGTTTGGTGAAAATCTGGAACACTACAAATCACAGATGGATACTGGATAGCGCGTGCTATACCTACACTTATGTTAGCTACACCGTAATTATGGTCTATAACTCACCATTTTAATGGACCATATAATAATAATATTAACCCTCCAAGTCCATTTGATTTGACAGTACGATCTTCTAATTATATACATTCACATGTAGGGACTCCAACAAGAGAGGGACCAAATAGTTGCTAGTTGAAATGGTGTTGCCAAAGACGAACTTGAATCACATTATTAGTAGTTCATTGTAAGGCTAAGCCCATTCCGTCTCCTTTGCGTAAATAATATTGTTTGTTAAAATAATATATATTAATAAATAAATAAATACGCATGTTATAATAACAAAAGTAAATTAGTAACAATCGCATGACAAGTCGTAACACAAATGCAAATCCGATCACATAATCGCTCCTAACTATTTAATTTGATGACCACGAGCAAAAAACTCCCATCCTTGTTCAAGATGTTAATTCAAATTCAAATGAAGTAGATGCAAGCCTGCAAGTAAATTGGAGACAATTACCAATTCTAAAATGTGCAATAAATAACCAAAAGGTGAGATGACAAACAAAATGTTGCACCCACAGAGAATCCAACTCTTTGAACAATTGATGCTATTTCAGTACTTTTCTGGGTCGAGTATTATACAAGGTGAACCCAAAATCAAAGAGGTGATGCTATTATACGCCTCTTCCACCGGCGCCATTAAAAGCTGTACAACATTAATCATATGCTCCATTTTTCTGTTAAATATCCCTCCTCCGATATCTACGCCCGTCGCCCCTCCTCCCGCAACCTGCTTCCCAATTGTTACTTAGCTATACAACTGCCTAGGTGTCTATACATCTGGCACTCTTCGGTAGAAAAGAACATATGCAGCTGATGTCTTGATCGTCTCTTCCCCAACATGACAAACCCTGTCATCATCAAACTCATACCATGAACCATTACCGAGCTGCACATGAACAAAATTGTTTATTAAAACCGTGTCATTCGAAAGGTCTGTGTACAAAAGAAACGCAAATTTGCTTGCAGAAGCCCTGTATAAATCAGGTCCGAAAACTTAACAACTCCTAACCAAGGTGAGTCTGTGACTAACAGAAGCTGAAAAGTTACAATTAACTCTTACGACTTCCGTTCATTTTCATTTACACATTTTTTTAGCACACACATGCCTAATTATAAATATACTTTAAGAAAGCCTTAAACTGAGAAAACCCTGGAGATAGATGCATATAATGAACAAAATAAAAAAGGAGCTTTCTACGGGGCAGTCCAACTTTCGCCAAGTTAAATGTTTCAACCGAGATACTTTGACAAGAACACAAGGAATTTCCAACAATAAAAGAAAAAACACTTACTTGAGCAAATGCAGTATAGTGACCACCGCCCATGCCACCATAGTGATTACTAATCGCATACAACATGTATCGGCTGGATAACTGGCTAATTTGGTGGGCAATGTAGCGTGAAAAATCCAGATCATGAATTGGAAAATCAACAAATGTTTCTAGCTTGTTCTTAAAATAATGGCTGTACGAGAATCTTTTCAGATGAATAACCAAAATCTCAGGCAATCTCCAAAGATCTAACTTTTTGCTAGCTTGTTGAGGCTTCTTGCAGGTAGGGCAGTACCTGTAAATAACAGATCATTGCAAAAGCTATAATTAATATAGGCAACAGGAAAATGACTTGACTGCATTATTTAATAGATTGTCAAAAAAAAACTGAAAAGTCGAACTGTGTAGATAACGTAAGTGATTAACAAAATAAATTGCATTCTCTCACATAAGACTCACTAGCCAGATTATGCCAAGAAACAACAGCCAGCAAGATGCATAACATTTTTGTTCTCGTAATTTCAAATAAAAGGCAGATACTAACCACATATCTTCTGGCCCTAGAGGTTCTTCCTTCATAAAGGCTTCAAGGCATTTGTACAGAGAAACAGATTCTTGAGGCCTCCTCACAGAAAATTGGGGCTTGAAAATTTCCGGCAAATTGCTTAGAAGGCATGTATCGTACTTTTTAGTCATTTTATCAGACCATAAAACAAGTACACTCAACCTCTTAGGCAACTTTGAGACCACTATTGGCTCATTCATGTCTATCAAGGTGTCTCTTATAGCTCCCTTTGTATCTGTAAAGTAAAACTGGAAGTCATTATCCAAATGTGCTTCATCCCCAGATCCCCTGTCCGCGTAAGCATCATTATCCATAATCGTAGAAGGAGTAGCGTCCTCCTTGTTAGAATCTTCAGTAGCATAATTTCCAATATCATCATCATCAAAAATATCTAATGCATCTCCAGTAGGCATCAAGTATGGGTTTAGTACTTTCAGGAACTTGTTACGAATATCAGATCCATTGCAAACATCAGGCAACCTTGCTATGAGGGGTACGCCAAACGCCGGTGGGACTAATCCCATCTCTCCATTATTATAGCCCCTGATCCCAGACAAAAACATGTATTTAGGCTTTTTAACGGAATAATAACAATTCTTCAGCGGCGGAAACATAAAACTGTAAATTGTTTATCTTTTTAAAAGATCAAGTGTTCATAGATTCAAATTCGGAACTGACATATCCAACTTTAGTACAACAGAGTTCATTAAAAAATATCACTAGCTATAGAAAGAGACAAAAAATGCCTATAGCTGTACAGCACGAAGACCAGTAACACCCCATAAGACAAATTCTTCTATGCCATGAATTCAAACTTAAATGAATATAAAACAGATATCAAATCACCACATCAATTACTTGCTCTTTTTTCCCAATACGTCAACTAATTGCATCACATGAAAGATAACATACACCAGCAAAAAATATTTTATGGGGAAATATCACATAGTATGTTTTCGATGCAATTTCTAGTGAACTTTAAGATCCAACCGCCATACTTGCAAGTTAGCATAAAGTGTCCTTTCATATACAAATTTGTATCAGATAAACAATGTACCTTCATTACACCTGTAAACAAGATTATTCTATCAAACATTTTATAAAAAAAGCCACAAAGTTATTTTACAATCACATAAAAACTCTTTAGGTTGCTTTATTGAGTTCACTAAGCATGTTTGACATACAAATACAGCAGAAAAATCATCAGCAGTATCACTTTCAGTTTTTTTGATAAAGTAATTTGAGTAAAGCAATTTGATAGAGCAGTGGTGATATATTTAAGAGAGACAAAAACTTACACGTCCATATGCTGATGAATAAACGTAACCAAAAGGGATGACTCACAATCCTTTGGTAACCGATAAGCAACCAACAGGTCACCATCTCTGATCAAGGCTAATGAATCAAATGGATCTTCCAGTAGACGAAAAAATACAACTCTTGTATATCTACAATGTTATAAACAAAGGTCAAGTTGAAAGGTAAAATACAATATATCTACAAAATTACAAACAAAGGTCAAGTAGTTAACCTTTCGCTGATGATTCTTAACAAGGTTACAAATAGTTACAAAAACAATCATGGGCATAACTTTACTGGAGAGAATGCAAAAGGCATAAAGAGGCCCCCTAATAGTCAAAATGCCAATAAATGGTGCTAGAGGATCAAGAGTCTGCAGAACAACACAACTGGCCCATGATCATAGCTAGTATAAATGTCATCCATCCATATGGAAAACCCAGTCCCCACGCCAATGACATGCAACAAAGTTTTAGTACCCCAAAATTTAGCTCTAGAAATATACCTCAGCTACCATCAGAGTTTCATCATCTCTTAAGCAACATGCAGTGCTTAAGGCATTAGTAAGATCCATCAACCTCCCACCCTGGGGCACTGTCACTGTACATGTAGATGGCATTGCAGTCCCATCTGTACTTAGGACCGTCAAAGTCATAGTCCGCATTGATGTTGAAGGTAACGGTAGCGAAAGGTACATAAATGGGTCAAACATAACAGACACCTTGTTGCAAACAGGGCATACCAATTTTGACCGGTACTGACCCTACAGTTGGAAAGCAAACAGATATTGCAATATAGTGAAAATAATTGAATGAAGTTGATCCCAACAAACTTATTTTAAGAAGATATAGGAAAAACTAAAATCACCAAATTACAAATGCACTTAAACCAGAATACTTACTTGGCACACATCGACAATGATTGAGTCATTCCGAGCAAGGTGATTTTGCCAATATTCTTCTGCTACTTCATCATCTGGACGACCCTCCACATCCTTAGCTTCAATGTAAGGTTTGCATTTTACACGATTTAGATCTTCGTGGAGACCATCCAACAAAAAAGCAAGAAGTTCCTACAAGAGGCACTTCAACCAATTACAATTTATAAACCTATTTCCAGCACAAAATGATTAAACATTCCCACCAAGTAAAAAAGGAGAGAATAAACATAAAAAGAACTAACCTGGGAATCATGCTGATTATAGCCACTGAATTGGGGAGCAAAATTAGCAAGTTTTGACTTGAACATCGTTGGAGTCACTGACCTTGCACCTGGAGCCCATAACCTCCTCAACAACTCTCCAAATGATAAAGCAAGCTCTCCCTGGAAAATAAGTATAGCAAAAGGGAGAGGCAATAATCAAAGTAAGTGAAAGATGCAGAGAAAGGCAGGCATCTAAAATGAAAACTAAGGGAATAATCCAATTACATACTTTCAATCCTAGTGGATTTGCGTAATTTATGTCCTTCCGGTAATCTCCTAGAAAGTAATCAACCAGCTTTGGAGTATGCACCAAGCATTGGATGGCACTGTTCATAAAACAAGTATTCCCAAGATTCTCTAGTCCAGTAAGGCCTAAGGAACCAACTCCTCTATAGATTATACCACTTTGCAAGGAGTTGGTTGAAGTTAAATAAGGATTCACATAGTCAGTGCTTCCATTCATCTTAATAGAGCCACCATAAGTAGAACCATCCAAACTTGACTCTTTATCAGCCACTTCATCACTCCTCCAATCTGAACCTTTCATACAGTCTGAAAATCCATGGAGTCGCAATTCAAGGAGAATCTGAAAAGACAATATGAAAAGAAAGGCCGGATGACTAAACTGTAGAAATTAATCTGCATGAAAGAT